GCGTCTTCTGACCTTAGGTCATATCTGAGGAACTAGAGGAGGGTGATTTGTTCAAGGTCACATAGCCTCAGTGACAGTTTGGGACTAGGAAGCCATCCCTTCCTTCATCTATTCTGACACACCGCCCACAACCACGTGTATGTGCAGGAAAGCCCAGCCGCCGGTGCTGGCCATTGGTAGATTTCATCTTGGTTTCTGAAGGAGAACAGGCTAAGAAACAAACCATCCAACCAGGAAGCCCTTGGTGACATTTTTTTTTTTTTTTAATTTGGAAGAGAAGGGTTCCCTATCCAGAGGAGGCTCCATAACCAGAGCACAGGTGCTGGACAAGTGGACACCTGCAAGGTGAAGTTTGAGGTCTGGAAGGCGTTTACCTCTTTTTGGAATTTTCCTTGGTTTCAATGGTTTTTCCGCCACTGAGCGCCAGGAAATCTGGTGAGTCCTGGTAATTCTGGGTCACAAACTGAGTGCTTGCTTCCGGTTCACTCAGGTGAAAGCGATTCAGAAATGTGTCCATATTCCAAGAGCCTGGAATGACAAAGGGACGACAGCGATGCAGTGAAGAATGTCACAGACTCGAGAGCTGGCCGGGGTCTTCAAGGGAGGCCAGCTCTGATTTATGGAGACAGTGGGCGGTCACATTGGTCACTGAGCTGAGGGGAGCAAGGGCGGTGGGTGCCCTCTGGTTCCTAACTGCAGGCTGGCCCCTGAGGTAGCAGCAAGCTTTGGAAGGGGCAGTGTTGCCAGCTTCCCCAGAGGACACTGGGGATTAAGAGTCCAGACAGGAGGACTCTCCCTGGTGGTGCAAGGGGTTAAAAAGCAGCACTGTGAAGTTCTTTGTACCTACAGCAGCAGGAGTTGGATCCCCAGCCAGGGAGCTGACCCACATGGTGTGGCAGACCTCTTCTGACCTGCCTGCTGCTCCCCCCAGCAGTGTAACTCCATCAATCTGCCTGTTCTGCTCCCTACTCTGTCTCTGGTGAATCCTCTCACCTCCTGCACCGCTGGCCTGTTCCCCAGTTCTTGTATCCATACATAAATAGATCTTTAAAGAAAAAATTAAAAACAAAAACAAAAAGAGTCTACACGGAGTCAAGGACTCCCAGCCTCTTTATTTAGCAGAACTCTGCCATCTCATTCACATGCAGAAAGGAAATGCCTAATCAGAAAGGTTGCCCACTTCCTCCACCTCCTCTTTTCTTGACTCTCCTGACCCGGTGAATGAGGCCTTAATGCTTCTTCTCTTCCTACCTGGTCATGCCAGCTGCTGGAACTGAGGGCGGCATTCTTTCAATGGCCTCCCCAGAACCCTAGAAATCCTGAGTGCCCCATGTCCCAGGATCCTTTCCCTGACTGGCTCCTGATCACCTGGGTCTTGGAGAGGAGTGGGGCCAGGGGGAGAGGTCCCAGGGGGGCTTCTCTAGATCCATGTCAAAGGGGACCCTTCTCAAGGGAGAACACTCTGGAAAGTGAGGGGTGGTGGTGCATGTTCTGGAGCAAGTTAGAACAAGCCTGGTAGTAGGGCAAGGAGGGCACAGCCCCGGGCACTGGGGAGAGGCCTAGGGAAGTGGTCAGAGGCAGATTCCCACGCTTTTGTTTCCCAAACCATGGGCCTCAGGCACCCTCAGCGGCCAGTTGCCAGATAAAATACAGGACGCCAGTAAAATTTGAATTTCAGATAAACAACAGATAGTTTGTTATTGTAAGTATGTCCCGCATATTGCACGGAGCATACTTATACTAAAAAATTTTCCTTGTTTATCAAAAATTCAAATTTAACTGGGCATCATGTATTTCTCTCTCTCTCTCTGCTAAATCTAGCAACTTTCCCTTGGTGGGGGGAGAGCTCAGGGAAAGACCTGGCCTGGAACAGAGCGGATAGGCCCTGGGACACTTAAGAACAGTAACCTGACATTTCCAGGCCAGCAGCTTGAACGTCCTCAAAGCCTGCCTGTACTGGCTGGTGGCCCCGTCTGGCCCCACCATCCTTTCAAGGGTGAAGGAAGCAAGTCCATTACAATCTTTGTTGCTTCACTTAACTCCCTGAGAGTTGTTTGCATTTCAGAGATATTTTCAAGGAGAGGATCAGTTCTAATTCCAACAAACAAAACACTAATACCAATATTAATACTAATACTAATAACAGAAGCAACACACCTCTACAGTGCTTCCTAAGTGCCACTTCCAAGAACCCTGGGCTATATCCCTTGGCACAGGGGAGGGGGCTTCCCAGGAAGCAGGGGTGGGGGAAGGGCTTCCTCAGGGTCCTACAAATCCAGTCTGGCCAGGTTTGGCCTGTGAGAAATGGGTGAACGGGGACAGTAAAAGTTCTCTTGGAGGAGGAGCTGCTGGTGCAGAGAGCCTTTCCTGTGACTGGGCCGCTACTTAGCCAAAGGGAGGAGGAGGAGGAGAGAAAGAGCAGAAGGCCGGCCTTTGCACCCAAGGAACTTGGCCGGCTGGAATTAAGTGATGTGACATGACTGTGGGGAAATGTGGGTCTGTGTGATGTGTGTGTCCTTGCATGTGTGCGCCTGCGTGCGCACACCAGGGAAAAGGCTCACGAGTGAAGTGGTGTGTGGCGCATGAGGGGACAAGGGGGCCTTCCCCACCGAGCAGGACAGGAAGGAACCGGGTGGCAAGGAAGGAATTGAAACTCATCACGAGATCTCGGCGAGCTGGTGGGAAGAAATCCCCTGTGCCCTGAGGGAGACCATGCTCCTCTCCCCACTGGTTCAGAAGTCCACTCTTGATTGGGCTTGGAGTGCCGGGGGGGGGGTGCTGGAGGGGGTCATATAGGTCCCATTTTCCATGCAGTTCTTGACCTTCCCAAATCCGGGACACAGGAGGGTATGTTTGGCTGTCAGCTGCTGGCCTCCTGCTGTCTCCTCCCCTGGCTTGGCTGACTCCTTATACCCCCATTTCCTGCCACAGAGGGCAGAGGAACTGACCCTGTACAAGTTCTAGAAGGAAGAGGGGTGAGTCAGGCCCTCCAGCTTGTGTGGAGAGATGGGGAGCTCAGAGGCTGTGGTTTCCGTGGTCACTGCATGGAGGAAAGCCCCATCCGGTGTGGTGCTCCGGCCCCTGGGACCAGGGAGCTGCTGCCACCAGGAAGAGGCAGCTCTGCTGTCGGTGTTGGGACCACTCCCCTTGCACCCGGGGCGCTCCCTGACAGACCTCTGCCTGGGACCAGGACCTGGGGTGGGGGGGCGGAGTGTATCCCAAAGGTCTCTGTGGTGGGAGGCCGGAGGGAGAAAGAGGAGGGCGGTGTAGTCTAGGGCCCCTACGGTGGGATGTGTGGGCCGGTTCCCGCACAACCTAGGAGGCGGTATTCCCTTTGCAATAAACCATAGGACCCTGGTTGTGTCGAGAGACCTTTCTCTCGCTCACTGGCCAGCGCTGATGAGGAAGATGCTAGATGCCAGAGATGTCCCAGACGCAGGCCAGGGGGAGTTAGGTAACTGACCTAGAGATGTTGGGGTGCGGGTGGCGTGCTGAGTTACCTTACACTTGGGAGAAGGTGACCCTCAGCTTTCGTGCTCACCCTTGGAGTTTGAGTTCCGGAACAGCTGGAACGCTCCAGAATGGCCCTGGGCCAGGTCTGGACAGTCACAACTTTCCACTCTCAGATCCCCAAGTCTGTAGGCCTGGCTGTACCCTGTTTGGGAGAGGCTCATCACGTGGGGCTGGACAGCCACATTGGGCCTGTCAGGGTTCAGCAGGCAGCTGCGGGACTGAGAAGGTGACACCACACCTCATCTAGTCCTCCTCTCTCACAGGACTCTGGAGAACGAGGGGGTCGACTAACTCCCTTGCCAGAATGTGGACACTTTAAGCCAAGGGGAATCTCAGAGCCTGGCATTGGAGACCCCCTAACACTGATGGCCACTGTCTGGGATCCGCCCAGCACTTCCCGCCCTGCCCTCCATGAATTTAACCCTAGACTAGTGATGAGCTAGGCCCACAAAGTAGGGCCTTGGAAGTTTTCAGCTCCCAGAGGAGGCTCCAGCTCAGGCCACACACCCCGGGGGCCCTCGGCAGGCCCCCTTGCCAGACTTGCCAACAGCGCAGCCTTCCCCGAGTGCCTGGCTCTTGTCAAGGGCCATTTCTGCCTGGTTTGTCACTTGGTCCTCCCAGGGCCCTCAGGTGTTTCCCTCTCAGCCTGGGAAGTAGGGGTCAGGAAGCCCCCATTTGGGGGGGGGAATGGAGAACAAGGGGGTCCTGAGCCTTGGGATGGGTGTCCTCTGCCTGCCCTGCTCAGCACCTCCTGGCCAGACTCCATGGCGAGGGAGCTGTTGTCTAAGCCAGCGGCCGCCCTCGTCCCTAGCCTCCCCCTGGGGAGGGCACTGCTGCTTCTTGTCAGGGGACATTGGCCCTGAAGAAAAAACAAAAATTGAACACCAGCCTAACAGCCGCCCCCCGAGCGCCCGGCTCAGGTCTGTAATTTGTCTGGCACTTCGCCGGGCTGGCTGCAGTGATGGAAGCGCTGAGCCTTGCTGCTGAGATTAATGATGTCCTGGCGGTGGTAGGCGGGAGGCTTGAGCCTTTTATTCTTTGTGCCATTAAATGACATCCAGAGACTTCCACTCAGGAGCTGAAAAGCCCTCGTTCCATCACATTCAATTACTTCTGGAGAATATTTGCTGAGTGGCTGATCCTGCAGCCTTGAGAGGCTTGGGGCAGAGGGGGCCACTTGGACTTTGTTGGGGATGCCAGGGGTCATCCCTGGGTGGTGGTGGTGGTGAGGGGTCATCTTAGTCTCCTCTGGAGAGGAGAAGTGGAGAGTGGAGGTACGGTTCCTCACTGCCCAGTATGTGATCCTCTGGGCACCTGGCAGGCTGCCTCTTCCATCCTGTGGATGGGGTACGCGTGTGAGGAAGGGCGGGAGAGGAGAGGAGACTTGAAGCTGTCAGTTCAGGGCCCCTGTTATCAATTTCATCATTTGGTGGTGGTTATGATTGGCTGGAGTTCTGGGTGAAATTTGGGGATTATCTGTGGTTTCTTGATGATTGTTCAGTATGGTCTCTGGCTGTTGATGCTTGGCTTGATTGGGGCATGCTCTGGAAGAGGCCGCCCGGGGCCTTCGGAGATTTCAGGTAGTTGCTAGCTGGGCGCCTGTCTGCGAGTTGCCCAGGATGGCCCCATCTGGGTCGCTGCCAGGCCCCCTGTCCTACCCGCTCTGCCAGGTGGGTGGGGCCCTTCAGAGGCAGAAGAGGGCCGCCTGACACAAGCCCACACAGTGACTCAGGGGCTGGGCCCTGGGGGATTCTGGGGCCTGGCCAGGTGAACCACCATGGGAGGTCATGGCGGAGGGTAGGGGCTGTTTTGCAGTGGGCTGTGTGTGTTTGTGTCTGTCTGCGCGTGTGTTTGGGGCTGGTCTCCAGGCCAGGGCCTCCTTCCCTCTGCCTCTGCCAACACCGTGTGCACCTCTCACTGCCACGGGACCCGGAGGATTTCCTCTCAACTGTGGGCCCTCGCATCAGTGCCTCCTACTGTTGATACTGCTCTGAGATCTGCTGCCTTCATGCCTT